TGGAATCAATATGTACTAATTTTGAAGGCGAGTGCTTGGCGAAAAAACGCAATTTTTTAGTAAAAATTTTCCAAAAGTGCCCTAAATCGGCATTTTGTCGAAATTAGGTTTTTATACTGTTCTCAGAGAGCTCGAAAACTCAATTTGGTTGACCTGAGTTTTTTGAAAATCCGCCCCCTCAAGAAACTCCTATATTAGCCCCTACCCTTATCTAAACTATATCTCGAAGCGATAGTTTCAGGCGAAATATAATCAAAAGCTGCCCCAAAGTGTTCTCAAAAGGATCCAAAACTAAACCATATCGTATTATCTTGCTTCTAGTGTCACACAACTCTCATTAGATATTTAAAAAGATGTTGCGAGAATAACTTCCTATTTTTTCAAAGTTTTAATTTTTGTGCAAAAATTGACGTAGTCGTAACGTTGTGTTTTTAATGCACAGGTACCGGGTATGGTTTTAATTAAAAACACACGTGTTACCCTTGTAAACATGAGTCTACTACAGTAACTTAAAGATAAAATTTTGTATAAATGTGGATCTTTTATTCTAGAAGCAGTAATTCTACTATTCTCCAAAACTCCCTATAAATAGACCAAGTTAAGATCTTCCACCCCACTCTTTAATATGGATTATTTCAACTTAGAGCTGCGTGTAAAACATTTTATTAGAGCCAATATCGCAAATAATTGAAAAACACGACGCCCCACCTCAGGGATTCGAACCCCTCACCAAGCAAAGGATCCCTTTGGTATTTTTTTCTGACTCAAGATGTACTAATTTTAAAGGCGAGTTCTTGCCGAAAAAACGCAATTTTTTAGGGAAAAGTTTCCAAAAGTGCCCAAAATTGGCATTTTATTGAAATTAAGTTTTTATAATGTTCTGAGAGAGCTCGAAATCTCAATTTGGTTTCTCTCAAAATATAATCAAAAGCTGCCCCAAAATATTCTCAACGGATCCAAACCTAAACTATATCGTATTATCTTTCTTCTAATGTCACACAACTCTCATTAGATTTTTAAAAAGATGTTGCGAGAATAACTTCCTATTTTTTCAAAGTTTTATTTTTTGTGCAAAAAATGACGTAGTCCTAACTTAATACATAACATGCACAGGTACCGGGTATAGTTGTAATTAAAAACACAGTTTACCCTGGTAAACATAAGTCTACAACAGTAACTTAAGGATAAAATTTTGTATAGCTGTGGATCGTTTGTTCTAGAAGCAGTAATTCTACTGTTCTCCAAAACTTCAAAATTTAATAACAAACAATGATAACCGGTTACTATGGAAGTAGCACAGAATGTTCCGACCAGTCTTAAAAAATGCAACGAAATTATTTTTCCAATTAGTGTAATTTTTTCGGCGTGGTGATAAAGGATTCTGAGCAAAAAAGTAGGGTTTAGGCATTTTCGTCAGTCATGAAAAATTTGAAAAGTTTTTGACGACAAAAAAAATCGAAATTTTTTTAAAATAATTTTTCAAAATTTGAAGTTTTTGATTCTTATGATGAAGCTTAGAAGAACTCCAAAAACTAACTTCATTTGGGTAAAGTTAAAATTTCAAGGCTTAAAGTAAGCATAAATAAGCTAATATAAGCCTGCTCACTCGCTCGATATTAGACGAAAAATCAAAAACTTCGAAGCGGTTTTTCTCGAAATAGGGAAATTTTTTTTGATGTAGTTCTATTAAGACTGGAAGGGTTTTAATATGATACATCACTCAACCCAGTCCGATGATTAATTGTGGTAGCTCATTTTGCGAGGAAAATTTAAAAAAAGTATTCTCGCTTGCTTTATTCGCTCGAAATGAGACGAAAAACCAAAAATTTCAAACCGGTTTTCTCGACAGTGGGAAAACTTTTTGGAAATTCTTCAATCTGGTTCGAATCACGACTGAAAGGGCTTTAATATGATAAATCACTGAACCCTGTCCGATGATTATTTGTGGAAAACAAATAAAAACTAAAACACCCGAATATAAAGTTCCTCCAATTTTCAATGGTCGGAACAATAAGTTCGGGCGAATTTCATTCGGTCGGTAACTTTTGGTATTAAGACACCTTTCTACAAGTTTGAACCTTATTTTGCAAGCATACGGCGCCAAGGTTTACCAAGCCATAAATAACTCAAGCAATTTTGGCTGCGCTTTTAGAACCCCATACTTGTAGCTGAAGTTTTGTAACAAAACAATTTTTCTAAAAACTAATTTCAGAATATAAATATAGGAAAATAGAATTTATTTTATCTAACAGTTTTGTCAAAATTGAGTTCAGTTTATTTGAAAATCAGAGCTGAAAGCTCCGATGCTCTGTTCGACTAAATACATGGGCTGAAGTTGTATTCCACTTCTACATATAAATTCACCCGCTTCAAACCGCATCTTCAATCTTTTTCGCAGTTCCTCAATTAGTTTAGAGACTGGTATCGGTGAGTCATTTCGGCCGAAAATCGAGCAGAAATCTTGAATCAGAAACGAACCGTTATGAGGACTTCGATAAGCAAGATGTCCCGCTAGACAAGCGTAGATAATAATTGTATTATGTCGCGAAGATAAAACAGGTCGAATAGACGGAAAATGTAGATTTTTTACTTCTAATTGTTCAGATTCGATTTGAAGGTCGTCATTTATCATTCGAAACTCTCGACAACATTGAAACAAGAAAACTTTTGGCACGTTTTTTAAGTATGTGAAATTTTCAACTGTTGATAAAATTTCATTAATTGGAATTTTAGAAACCTCAGCTAAGTTAGTTGAGATTTCTTCCGGATTTTTTGTTTCAATTGGAAAAGTAAGATAATCAGCATGTGTTAAATTATTTCGCAATCCGTGTCCGCAAACAACAAATAACAATTTTTTCACTTTTTTATTGCTCAAAAGTGACAGGTAATCGTTTAATTCTGACTTGAACAAACTAGCTGACATATTTTCAAACTCTTTATAAGTCAGTTGCAATTCTTTGGCTACTTTAGTTAAGGAAGCCGAATCTTTTTCGTGGCCAAATCGATATGAACCCGAATCACCGTAATCGAAATTATTGACAAAAATCAGTTGCCCGTTATCGAAGTTTTTCTTTTCGGGCTTTGAAATATTCGTCGAAATCGACTCAATTACATCGAAACTCAAATTTTGTGAATTATCACTAACAAGTTCACCATTAATTAGGTTTTCAAACATATTAATTATTACATCGCAAATACTTTCTGCTACCTGAATATTGATACATTTCCAAAATTCTATCAAGTCGAACAAATTAATAAGATTTGTGTCTTGTAGATTTTCGACCCAAATATTAATCAATTTTTCGTGATCTTTCATGATATGTTTTGCAATCAAAGGATCTGATTCCCAGAGAGGAGTAGCGTATAAAAGTTTCCTGAAGAAATTCCTCAAATCTCGTTCGTTTGAAGTTATGTTCATGACGTTGATTGCAGCGGTTAGAATAAAATCCCAAATTGCGATTAGCCGAACGCGGTTAAAGTTGAGTGAATCTGTTTTGCGCAAACATTTTTCGGCTAGGAGAATGTAGTCAATTTTTGAAGCAGAACTCATTTTTTTATTTTAGAAATTGATATTCGAACTCGAAGAAGTCTTCGGTTTTTTTTCCAATCATTTACTAAAAGTAATCTGAAAACAAAACCCTAATATTTTTTTGGAAAATAATATGAAACACAAAGAAAATTTGATCAAGACTGAGCGTACACAATGATTTGAGTGGTGCTAGGGATTTAAGCAGACCAGTTTTTTAAGCAGACAGGTTTTTTATCAGACAGAGAACAATTATAAAGTATGATAGCTAATTTCAAACGCGGCATTGGCGATTAGCGACCGCTTGCTCTGCTGTGCTTCGATTCAACACGAGTGTAATTGTGCGCGTAAATCTTTGTTTTGCCGCTAATTTAGACTCTCCTGTCATATATTTATTCAATTCAAAACTCTCCTGTCATATTCGGATTTGACATTTTATGTTCATTTAAACTAATTGTTATGATAGTTATTGTCATTTTATGTTCTTTTTGTATTTGCGAAACATGAATCTTAGAAAAAAAAAATTATTGGCCTTTCCTTTTCATAGCAGTGACGTCTAAAATGTATGATCTGCAGAAAAAAAAACTTCGTCTAATTTCGTTTTTTGTAGCATCCGTCTAATTTGCTTATCGTCTAATTTCCTAGGCCCCCCGAAACCAATATCTTTCTTATTTAGCCAAAAGAACACTATGACGTCTGAAATTTGTCAAGGGCTTATTCTAATATTTAATCTAGAGGGTAAAAAAACGTGAGTGAAAATGTATGAATCAAATATTCGATACCTGAATACCGACCGAATATTGTAAAAAGTTTATGCACAAGTGATTTTGTTCATTAATGTTCATGAAATTTCGAGTTATTATATCAACTGCAATTAGAAACAAAATTATTGCCCAAATGAACCAGAAAAAGCACAAAAAAAGGTACAGCGCATCAAAAAAATATATATATTTTCGGCAAAAAACACAATGGCGAAATTTTTCGTTTAGAAAAAGAAGGCTGGGTTCGAACCATGGACCTTTGGCTTTAAAGGCATGTGAATTGCCGCAGAGTAACTGTGCGTTATCGCAGAGCCACACGTGCGTGTTAAAGCCTTGATTTTGTTTTCGTATGTGCTGGGTTGGGTTATCATAATTTTGCGACAAAAATTAACGTGAAAAAAAAAACACTAAAATTCCGATTTGATTTTTAGAACTTGTTCAAGAAAAACCTAACAAAAAACACGACGTAACTAACTTTCTTTACTTCGTTCCTTGACAACAAAAATGCTACCAACTATTGACTAGTTTAATCAGGAAACATTTTAAAAAAATGTGAAAATTATGCCTCTGCCGAAAATGAACAGGATTCGCGATTGAATACTCAACAGACTTCCCGATAACCGCCGTCAGCCCGAAACAAAAGGTATCACAACTAAATGAAAAAACAACTCGCCTTATTATCTGGATCATCTGACATTTTTTTGAACTCAGTATTGTATTCTTAAACTATTCCGGGAAATGAATGAAAAACAGATAAACTAGAAATAAATAATCACACGAAAATTCAAATATTTCAAACTCGACTTCAAAGAAATGTCGATCAACAGACATACAAGTTTTTCTTCATTTTAAGCTAAATGCTTAAATCAAATGTATTTTATCCCTCGACGACTTGGAGCGAAGATACTTTAGGTACAAAACGCTCATTAATCACCCAATGATAATGAATATATCAATGGAATATCGACGCTCCTTATTAAGTTAATGTCGCTTAAGATTGTTCCGCATTCTTTGATAGTTCATTATAACTGTTCACCTTGATTCAAAATGTTCGTTTCACCGATTGCGTAGTTTATTGCGTTGATTGTAATCGACAGAAAAGAAGTTGAGCTTCAGCATAAGTGAAGATCATTCTGACATCTTTGTGAGAATATACTCGATACAAGTAGAAAGAAAAGATCTCTCCAAATTCACAGCTGTCTGACTTTGAGATGTAATAGACTGAATTGCTTCTGTGATGTACTGAAACACACAAACACACCATTACATATTTCACAAACATGATCATTTTCATTTGGAGGGTGGGGACGGGCTATTCTTTTATAATACTGTTTCAAATTAGAGCAGCTACATCATTTATCAATTTAATCCCGTTAGAAGAAGTCTTTCAATTGAAGTAGAAATGGTCTGCTATTTAAGGGCGTCTAATACCAATTTATTTCATGCAAAATACGCCTCTTTAACAGAGCTTGTCTTCACACACTATAATTGATCCCAAGTCATGGCAATGATAGTGTGTGAGGACGCGCTCTCACTTGACCTCTAACTTCAGGTCTACCACAGCTTGACCAATTTCGGCTGCAATAGTATAGAGAGTTGCAAAAAGTTCGGACAGACAGAATTAATTAAAAAGAGCAACTGTCTAGACATCAACGGAAATTAAAACTAAAATAAACATAACGTCGAGAGTTCATAAAGCAGAGTTTCGGGAAGATAGGGCAGATTGTTTATTAGATTACTTGCAGCGATTTTCGACCAATTAGAATGCAGCAAAATTCAAATTTAAATACAACGCTCTAGTCCAAAGTTACTGTTTTTATTTACAGGGGTGGATATTATTTAGTAAATACAATAGGTTGCAATCTCTTGTTAAGTAGATCCGAGTTTCGCTCAAAATGTATAACCACGGCGGGCAATTGCATCCGAAGCGTCGAACTGTTTTATAGTAAAATCTGGATGTTCATCGCAGTATTTAAAAATTAGGCTAGCATAATCATCGGATAATCGACAATCTCGCACTTTGAATTTGGTCTGACAAAAAATTCAAGGTTGTTCGGCTTCAGATTTTGCATGCAAAAAAAGCGTCAAAAAGCACTGATTGCTCGTTTTAATTAATTCTGTCTGTCCGAACTTTTTGCTATAGACAGTTGCAAAAAACTCGGACAGACAGAATTAATTAAAAAGAAGAACTGTCTAGAAATCAACGGAAATTAACACTGAAATAAACATAATGTCGAAAGTTCATAAAGCAGAGTTTCGCTCAAAACCTATAACATCGGCAGGCAATTGCATCCGAAGCGTCGAATAGTAAGCCTTGAAACAGGAAAGTTGTTGCTCAGGGTGGCTAATGTTTTTCTGCGATTAGTTTCCAAATTTTGAAGTATTAAATCATCTTCACTTCCGTTTTTTTAGGGCGGCCTAATCTGTGTTTTGTTTTAGTTGTTGAAAATATTTCTGGATTTCGATTTTTTAACTAATTTTGCAAACTATTTTATAGTAAATCTGGATGTTCATCGCAGTATTTAAAAATTAGGCTAGCATAATCATCGGATAATCGACGATCTCGCATTTTGAATTTAGTCTGACAAAAACTTCTAGGTTTCAGGTTTTGCATGCAAAAAAGCGTCCGAAAGCACTGATTGCTCAATTTAATTAGTTGTCTGTCCGAACTTTTTGCTACTAATTATACTAATTATCGTACCACGTGAAAGTTCTAGACTCAAAAAACGCGCTTGCTTCACAAGAGACACTTAGCATAATTTTAACATTAAAGATGAAACTTAGTAGAAATAATTTATTAAAGTTTCGCGTTTGCTTTTTTTGTCTGTGTTTTATGTGTTTTTTTCTTTTGAAAAATTGCATGACAGATCGCTACTAAATGAAAATTGTTTTGAAGCTAAGGGCTTGAAGTTAAATAAAAAAACGGACTCCATGTTACTGTCTCAAGGTCAGAATTATTTCAGAATTTTAAGGCGTTGTCCGATAAATTTGTTAAAAGCCATATCATAGTGGTAAAGCTTTCACTTTGGAATCGTCAGATCGTGTACTCGATCCCAAGCCATGGCAATGATAGTGTGCGAGGACTTGACCTCTAGCTGACCAATTTCGGCTGCAATAGTAGTACCAAAGGAAAGTTCTAGACGCAAAAAAACGGCCTTGAGTCGCAAAAAGAGCTAGCTCAACAAAAAAACAGTCTGGAATGTGCGGAGATAATACAAAGGCACTAGCCTTGGACAGGACTGTTAAGGCCTACTGATAGCTCCTCTGCGATTCACAGGAACCATATTTATATAGTTTTATGGGGTGTAATCTAAAGAATCGCAGAAAAAGTGCTGTTTTAAAATTGATTAATATTTGGAATAATAGTTAGCCATACGCTGGCATACTTGAATTGCTCTTACGGAACCATGGGCTTGGAAAATGCAATGAGAAAACCAGAAGAACCAAAACTCAGAGCCAAAACAATTGACGGATCTACTTAACAATCACCCCCTTCAAAAAAGGGGGGATTGTTAAGTAGATTAAATCAGCGAATTTGTAACCAATCAGAGTGCAGCAAAAATCGAATTAGAAAGATAACGCGTTAATTTACTGCTTATATTTATAGAAGTGGCAATTCTTTAGTAGATACTGTAGGGGTAGCGATTGTTGAGTAGATCCCAAATGCAATAATGCTTTACAATGAGCAAACCAAAAATCAAGCGTGGAAAATTGAGCCTTGCTCTGAAAAGAAAAGATTAACAAGACTGCTCGCATCAGGGCAAAGCCCTGAAAGTTCCGACTGCGTATTAATTTCTGAATTATTTTACTGAAAAAATTTCTTTGATGTATATTTATTTTTAAAATCATCCCCCACACGAGTAAGTGATATATTTAGCATTTTAAATTAACAATTATATAAAAAGTATATAATAGACCAAAGAGCATGCGTCAATTCAATTTGAACGAGTTCTAATACAGATTAAACCTCCGCGTCACATACAGGAATTGAAATGCTTAAAAAGTATCGTTTTCGTGCATAATATGGGTGACAGACCGTTGCAAAATTGTTAATATCTCAAAAAAAAAACGCCAAACCAACTGACATTTTTCAAACTTTTTTCCAGCTTTTGAGTTTCAAAAAATTACATCGCCTTAAAACTCGCTTGAATTGAATTTTCTTTCATTATCGATTCATTTTCGATCATTGCCAACAGACAAAAGAAAAAGCCCATGAAATCAAGGAAAACGAAAAAAAACTTACATTGAACATTTCTCAACACATTTCAATTTATTTTTTGTTTTCAAATTCGAAAACTATAACACCTTTAAGTCGTTCAATTTCAATTTGGTATGACTTACTTTTTTTCTGATCGAAAAAGAACAAACCCAAATGTGGAAAAAAAAACGAAACAAGGAAATAATATCTCTATTTATTAATTAGATATACTATAAACTCAGATAGTTACATAGAAATGAGACTAGGAGGAAAGAGACAACAGGACTATACTCCACTTTTCATTTTACCATGCAGCATAACTAATTCAAATATGGTTACGTAGCAAAAAGTAGACATGCCATAAAGTGGAAACGTCGTAAGCCAATTAGAATAGAGAAAAAAAATTATATTTCGTACGTTTGTTTTCTTATCTCGACTGTGATTGTCTACTTTATGACACTCGATTGTGATTGGCTTACGACTTGCCTACTTAATGTTATGTCTACTTTTTGACCGCACTCCTTGAAAGAATTTGCGGGCAGTATATATTTAAAGCTACCGCCAAATACATCATTAAGAAATTTCAAAAAGTAAGCATCAGAAAGTATTTTTTCTGATGCTAACCATTGAGCGAATAGTGGCTAGGACGGCAAAGGAGACAACCTAGATGCAATTTTCTCAATAGCTTGCTCAATTGTACAGACAGTTGGAAAAAGTCTACACGCTAGTTAACAAAAAAAAACTGATATCTTTTGAATTTCAACGAAAAAAATACATAACCTTAAACATATTTGAAATTTAAGAACGATTATTTGATAAAATTAAACCAATTTTTCAGAAAACTGGAAAAATGGAAAAAGTTTTACTTCTGCTGGGAAACAAACTCAATTTTTGAAACTAGAAGTCGATCACGTTTTTCGTCAACTTCACAGTTTTCCTGTTCGATAAAGGAGTTTGACTACTTTTATGACTCTTAAACAAATCAATTAAGCAATTAAACCAATAATGTACCCAATAAAACAATTGGTCCTTCACTTCGCGTCTCTTCTCATTCACTGACAATTAATAAAACTGACCCGATTTGAGAAAACTGTACGAAAGGGAGTGTTGCTGAAAAAGTTTCAATTGAAATCTTTCTGTAAAACTGAGACAATTTGCAAGCCCTGTACACTTCTGTTATTGGAGAACGTATTTTTTTCATTTTTTCAGTTATAAAAAAATTTTAAATTAAATAACCAAAAAAGTTTTCAGTTGAAAATAACTTCAAGACTTTTGTCTGAAAAAAACGAACAAAAAACCAGAGAATCTGATGAAGTGAAAATTCACTTCCTTTATCAGTTAAAAACTTATTAAATCAGCAAAGCAAAACAAGGATACCCGGTTACTGTGCAAGTAGCACAGAATGTTCCGACCATAGACTTAAGAAATTAAACAAAGCTTTTTCAAATTATTGTCGTTTTTTTCGGCGTGGTGTGATAAACACGGATCTGAACAAAAACTGGAGACTAGTTATATTCGACAGTCATAGTAGAATAAGCAAATTAAATTTTTTTTGTAGAAAATATACTTGTAAAACGAAAAAAAATTGGGAAAATTTTTTGAATTTTTTAAAAAAGGTTCGAATCACGACTATAAGGGCTTCCATATGATATATCACTGAACCCCAGTCATATGATTATTTTTGGTACCTGATTTTGCCTGGAAAGCAAAAAGAAAAACTAAAACACCTGAATACAAAGTTCCTCCCCATTTTCAATGGTCGGAACAAAAACATAAGGTATTCCGATACAGTATTAAAAATAGTGTTTTACAATACTTTGCCGACGTGAACGCTCAAATTAATTCGAGCCGATCAATTAGGAAACCACTCAATTAGCATACTAAAAACATTACTTGAAATATATATCTCTATATATCCTTTCTTTTGAAGTTTTCGCAAATTTTAAATTCACTCAAAAGCAAGTATAAATAAACCCGCGCTTCATTTTAGGCGACATATTACCCAATTGCTACAAAAGGGCCACGTCTTGACGCTTGAGGTCTGTGCGTGAAATATTTCACCAACTCTATCATTAACAATTAACCGCAAATACCTTAAAAATCTAGAGTCAGTTACTTTGTTGGCTACTGCTCACTATATTTAGGCTAAAAGTAAGCTCAGTCTGCTTAGCGACACGTTTTCAAAACAAACTAGCGTGTAACGCACCTCAGGTGCTTCGAATTTTTAGCAACTCATAAAGAAACCTAAACCGCATGTATTGAAAATAAAATCTGCATCCTTTAAATAAGTTCTTTGAAAAACTAATAGCAATTGAGCGGTCGAATTTGCAACTCCTGAGAGTACTCTTACAGTACCTAACTTCAATGTTGGGAATTTCAAACTTTGGGAAATTTCAAACTTAAGTTTTCTAAAAAAACATTTTTATAAACTATTAAGAATGACATATCTCGGAAACTACCAGGATTTGAGCACTATTATTTGGAGTCAAAACTCGCAGCCTCCGAGAGTACCCTGACAGTCCCAACTACAGGATTAGAAAAAAAGTTCGGTTAAGTTTTCTGAAAACTTTTCGAAAAAATCACAAAAAACGTCATATCTCAAAAACTACAAAAATTTGAGCAGTATTATTTGTAGGAAAAACTCACAACTTCTGGGAGTACCCTGGCGAGGCCTCACTATAGAGATAGAAACTTAAATTTTGTGAAATTTTTAAATTTTGTGAAATATTTAAGTTCTTTGAATACTTTAAAAAGACATAACAAAAATCCCATCTCGGAAAAAGAGCATTTCAGCAGTCAGATTCGACTGCAAGACTTGCAATTTGGAACTCCTGAGAGTACCCTCACAGTGCCCTACTACAAGGTTGGGAATTTCCATTCTTTTGAATTTTTTAAAATCTAACTTTTCTGAAAAATTAAAAAAAAACATAAAACACGTCAAAACTCGAAAACTGCAAGGATTCGAGCAGTCAAATTTTGAGGCAAGATTCGCAATCCTTGAGAGTGCTCGGACAGCACCCAAATACAAAGTTGGGAATTTCAGGTGTTGTTTTTATAAAATGAGTTTTCTAAAATATTGTGAAAAAATTCACAAAAATTGTCCCATCTCATACACTAAAAGGATTTGAGCATTCGTAATTGGAGGCCAAATTCGCAACTCATGGACACCCTGACACCATCTCACTATTGGGTTGCTAATTCCAAAATTTGTTCAAAAAATCAATTGAAATCAAACTAGAAAATCGAAATAAATTAAGCTTCTTAACCATTGCCATATACGCTTTAGCTTAAACGTGAAAAAATTCGTTCGTTAAACATGCAAAAATAATACGTTGAAAAAGCTTAAACATGGCGAGATAACATGAATAACATGCATTTTAATATATAATAGATCGATTTGAGTAAGCTAAAAGACAATTTTTGCTTAAAATTTTAAGTAATGTGTGATGCTTAATGAGAGGTATGCTAAATGAGATGGCAGCATTGATTCTTAGTTTTGCAAATCAAATACAAATACAAAATCCAGGTTTTATCAGCTTCAAAACTCGGGTGACCTTAACCGAACTTGACTTGATACGCAAGGTCACCTAGCCACTTCCGAATTAACCTAATCACAATCAGCCTATGAAGCAATGAACAGAAATTGACACAAAAGTAACATCAAACATCATCAACTGGTCAGCTATTTTCAGACTTCGGACCCAACAACTACTATCATCAACATCGTACGCTTTATCTCATTCTATATTATTGATTTTCCTAATGTCTATTTACTTGAAGATTGAGATCACTTTTTAAATTAGATTTTCATCAAGATCTCTGACTAATTCAATCCTCACAAATCTTTGCTTTTATCACTAATACTAATAATCTTAGCTTGCCGGTGCGACTTAATTCACTTATAAATCCTCGATTCAAATAGAATTTGAGTGAACACCTCTAACTGTCAATGCGAATGACAATTTTGGTTCAAAGTCTACCATATCACGTCAAGCTCATCATCAAAATTTGACAAAAATGCTGTCTCAAAATCTAAATGAACGCCTCGATGGTAGAAAAAGCCGAAACTTACGACTTCCGTTTTTGGAGACTCCATTTTTGAGACAAAATTAACGAGCATTATATTACGACTATTTCTCCCTAATTTACAAAAAACAAATTCACTTATTGATTTATAATAATTTTCAAACCACCAGAAAACTTTTGATGAAACTAATAAAATTAGGGCAAAATATTCATTTATCCAAGTAGTTGACCTTTCACTCTAGGATACTAGTTTGACTAAAGACCATCGTGTCAAGGTCGTTTGAATTTTTATTCATTTAATTAAATGCTGATGTAACTTCGTGGTTTTAATCAGTAACCAACTGTTCGTTATCTTTGCGTGACTAAGCGCATAACGAATTTAATTCAATATGGTTGACCAAAAGAACGCTAGAAATTAAACTTTCATGGCCCCAATCATTTAAAAAACATAAACTGACAGATCTGATATGCTGAACAAAACTGAATGCATGAAGAAGTTACAATCGTAATGTTTTCATGCATTATTTTACTTCATTTTATAGTTTGAGCTTTCATATACATAATCAGACTTTTTTGCAAAAAAAATAGCCAGCATGGTAGCTGAACAGAAAAATCTAGGCCAAACATTTCATTTTAAACACTTGAGGAACCCATCTTCCCCAAAATAGGTGATTGAACTCTAAAGCCTAGAATAAACATGCAACGAAGTTAATAAATAGAAAGCAAAAAAACCTAGCCTACAAACGGGTGGCAGTTTTAAAAACTTTCATTCAGTTTTCGAAATTCATCACAGTGTAAAAAATTATAAATGCCGCTTTTTTATATGGAAGTAACTCAATTTGAGACCACGAGATTATAAGTACGACTTGATTCCGCTGGGGGGTTCTAAAATTTGAACTTACAGATCAAACCTCATTTTTACGAAAATTCCATTACTGTTGCTGTAGAATTTCCAAATCTATTACCGTAGAGCAAAACGTAAACTCCGTTTGTGGTTTTCAATGACCGAAAAAGCCAAAGAGGACATAGCCAAACAAAAATTGGAAGTGTCAATGAAAAAGGTTACTGAAAAACAAATACTTTTTATTGAACAATTTTCAGCTTCCGAGCTTCGAGCGAATTCAATTTTTCTGAAGTTGGTTGAAAATTGAGAACTATTCAGTTAAACGCAGCCAAAGTTGGAGTTCGAATAAACAAGCGAGAAAAACAATTAATCACAAATTATTTCAACTACAAAAACTCTTTGAAAGTATTCAAAAACTATTTCGTTTCTCTTGAATTGATGCTTTCTCATACAAATTCTGAATAAAAACGTTAACTCTAATAAACGAAAAATAAGAATACTAACGATTAGAAACAATATACATTTGAAAACACAGTGAGCCGTTGCTGTGAAAGAAGCACAGAATATTCCGATCACATTCACAAAAAACTACAAAAAGGGACAATTCTTTTTTTTTCTACACAAGTATCGCTTTTAGAGAGTGGAGTGACGAGAAAACTATACGATCGCGTAGAAAATTAGTGAATAAGACATAATAGACAAAATTTGTAATGAAAACAAGAAGTACCAACAAAGACAACTTTATAAAAAAAAGAAGCACTGAACAAAACGTCGGAAACCTTTTATCATTTCAGTTAAATCTTTAACATAAAATTAGAGTTTTTTCAGCCTAGATTTTATTATTTCATAATTAGCCTAAGCCCGTTTTTCTCAATACTGAGAAAACTTTGAAAATTAAGAAAAAAAACGTTCAAAACACGACTGAAAGAGTTTTAATATGATATATCACTCTAACCAATCTGATGATTATTTAAGGTATCTAGTTTTGCATCGAAAACAAAAAAAAACAAACATAGTCGAACACATAGTTCTTCCCCATTTTCAATGGTCGGAGCAAAAAAAGCTGAATAAAAATCATCTACAAAAATTTGTCATCTACAAAAATGTTTGTCTTGATTGTTGTTCAATGAAATGATAACACTGTTGAGAAACGCAATCACTAGCATTCAGCAAGTTTTCAGTATTATTTATTGAGCAGGAACTCAGCCAAAACAAATTTGCGTAGACGCCTGTTCAGTCCAAAACAAAATGGCCATAAAAACACAAAGGCAAAGCTGAGCTTCGCACCACTTGCGATACAAGTAGATCTTTCAAAATGAATGAAAAAAAACATGTCCAAACAATAGAAAGCAAAATCAGCATTGATTTTTATGATTAATAATTATTTATTATTTTTTTCACCATTCAATTTCTCGAATTTAGGGTGCTCAATGGGCGTCATGTGTCGTTGAGGTTGTAACAACTGACCTGATCGAAGACACTGTTCTGTATGGCTGGCACTACTTTTCTGCTGCTCCAGTTGTAGGTCAGGGGCAGTTCCAGTTGACGCACACTCTTCTTTGAAGTGAATGTGAACAGAAACATGACTGAGTCGGAGGAGGAAGGAGAGCCCCGCCGGATACACGTACTCCCTAAACATTATTTATAAGCAAAAATAAATTCAACCAAAACAAGACTCGCAAGTTGCATGCAAAATAGCCTATTAGGCAAGAACTGTCATTTAAGAAATTTAAACTTAGATCAAAAGTTCAGTAGCATTTAAAGAGCAAAAAAGCTGACCTCTTAATGAAAAAAGGATAATCTTTACGCACTAAATGCAGATTAGATTGCCTTATTTCAGTAAAAAACTATTCATTTTTTCGCTCATTTTTGGTGTAACTGAATGAAGCTTTTTCAGGAAATTTTTTCTTAAATTATTTCCTAGCCGCGGCAGAAGAACTTTTTTGAAATGTGAAGTTCATAGAACAATCTATTTCACATGTCACATTTAATTTCTCTAGATGTAGATATAAATTAATTGACGCAAAAATACAAAATTGCTCAAAGCAGAATTTAAACCATCAAGAATACTATATGGATATTAATGTGCATCAAGTAGTTCCCTTGGTTCATAAATTTTAAGAAAACAAGTGCATAACCTACTCCGAGCGGCACTCACCAATCTTGTTGATGGCCACATTGCTAATCTGCTGCATCGGGAAAGTCCACGTCACTTTTATAAACCACAGAAACTCAGGTGAAGGATTCGTCTCAAACCTCAAAATGGATGCAAAATCAGACACTACAGCTGCAGGCAGCAATAAGAAGTTACACCACGCTAACAACAGTGGGGATCTGAACGGCAACACTGCAATTTGGTGCTGGAAGTAAGTCTGCAGAAACTTCTGGTCTTTCTCGGACAGACTGTTTTGTTGCTCAGCTGATGAGGATGACAATGATGATGTTGGGTTTGATGACATGGATGGAGGAAGTTGTTTATCGTCCAATACTGTTATGTCGTCTGATTGGTTCGATATGTTCAGATCAGTCTGTGGTGTTATTTTCATGTAGAGACCTAAACAAAAGGTATTTGAGGTTCCCAATTTGACTAGTAGAAAAAATTTATTTCTACAACTAGTCGTTCAATAAGGTTATGTAGTATCAATTTATGAGACTTGGAGAGGACAGCCAACGGAATCCTAGGATCCTACAAGCCAGCGTATGTTTCAGAGCCAGCGTATAGGATTCAACGGGAGCTTTTTAAAACACCATCTCTACATTTTCATTCGTGCATGATACACTTTCAATATATATTGTCAGAAAATGCGGAAAACTTTTGAAATTTGAATCAGGAATAACTGACATTGTTGCTTCTGACCACAACAGATTGCCTTTCGAACAGTAACTTCCCAATTACGAAACATTTTGATACATTTTGCTGACATTTGGCAAAATACAGGTTTTACATGCTTGCTCTCGCAAAAGAAAAAAGCATTAGAAAAAATGAAGAAAGGCAACGCAAAATTGCACTTCGCTTCACTATGTAATCACACAGAAAAACGATGACAAGATTTATTCGAAACATCAACACAGAGGCAATCTTTGCAACCACTTGTAATAGAACAAAAATGGCAAGGCAGCTAGACTAAAAAAAGACGAAAGCTGAGTCGAAATAAAAATGTTTATAAAATCATTTAACAATCCGATTTTTTCAACGTTTGTCTGGAATGCGGTTAAACTTAAGAGAAAACACTGAGAAACACAACTACGAGTGTTAAATAGCATCAAAAACAAAATTTTTTTAGCGGATACTGAGCAGATAAAACTTGGGTAGACGACTGTCGAGTCGGAAAAAAAATCAAAAATGAACTGTAAAACATTTTGAGCCAAAAAAAATCGTAAGTTTCACGTCCCCCGTCCCCACCTATCTTTCCGCAAGCACAAAAACTTTTGATGCTGCAAACGACAAATCATCAGGGGTAACCAAACGGAAATGTATCAGCCGGAACAATTTAAGCCGAAAAAAAGCCGAAAGCGAAAAAAGAAAACCAAAAATTACCAATTTAACAACCAACAAAAAAATTCGAAGTTATTTAAAGATACAGAAAAAGAGCAACGAAAATGATCGCTTGAACTTTTGAGCAAACGAAAGCAATTCTTTACGTCTGAATTTCAAGTGTCAAATAGAAATGACTCCAGAAAAATTGAAAACAATTCTGGATTCAGCGAAGATTTGGATTAGACCCAAATGTTAAAAAATTATTCCAACTATTGCTTGAAGAAAACAGGAACTTAAGAAATGTGTTATTCAGCTACAATCCAGTGTGCAACAGCTTAGTATTAAAACGAATGAACTAGAGAGATATAACTCCAAGGATTCAGTGAAATTCAACAACTTGCCCCTGGGAATTACTGGGACTTTAATCGAAGACATCATATTTTTGTTCAAAAGTGCTGAATATATCGGTTACAGAAGACGATCTCAAGGCTTGCCACCCCTTATATCCTGTTAAGGACTTCAACAGACCGCCTCCAAATATTGCGAAAATTATACGATTTGACAAAAAGAATAGTCTGTGGAATCGAAAACCTTTGCTTCGAAATTTCGTCCACCCGTGCAAAAATAAACCGGAATATATTAACGGAATGTTATCAAAACATAATTCGGGATTGAAAATTGAAGCTGAATCGAGAGGCATGATTGTTTCTACATAGAATTCTACTCCTTTTGTGAAGTTGAAGATATCGGAGGAAATTTTAAAAGTGTCAAGGTGGATACTATGGAGGAGTTGGAGGGCCTAAGCAACACTGCGGTTAGCAAAGTCAACACCATCAGACCAGCTAAAACTAAATCGGAAATTTTGTATAGTAAGGTTTGGAAGGACAACATAACAACGGCTAAAACGCGTTTTCGCTTTCAAGTTTCACCATCGCCAGCATCTACAACTAACGAAGAAGAGCAAACTCTGAAAAGTGAATTGGTCAAGCATATGGATGATGATATTGCCTTATTGTATTTCATTGAAGGATTCTTGGGCGGTACTATGCAGTCATATGAAACAGAAAACGATGAGTAAAGTACTTTCATCATACAACTTAACGTAAATTCAACCACTTAATTTAATGCCTTAATTTTTGCTGGACTTGGGAAATTTAGTGGAGGCAAATACTGGGAGAACTGAAAGCGTTTTTTTTCTTAACATAAGATCACTAAGAGTACATCATGGCCAGCTTTGTGTTTTGGTTGATTCACGCAAGCAAAAGCCTTTAGCTATAGCTTTACGCGAAACATGGTTGACCGAAAAAGATTGTTTGGAAATGATTCAGTTGGATGTTTATCAGAAAGGGGTTTTTAAAAATCGGAAAAAAGGGGTGGTGGTGTAGCTTTTTTTTGTAAAAAAAACTGGAGTTGAAATTATTCTTCAAGATCTGAAATCAGATTTGGAATATCTAGCTACAACTATTTGCAGCAATTTAACTAAGTTTAATATTTGCGCTGTCTACAGCCCACCTGATCACACGTGTCTAAAATTTTTGGAAAGTCTGGATACTCCGTTAAATGAAATTCGATTTCTAAAAGGAACACCTATAATTGTACGAGATTTCAATATTGACATATTTTCGATTGATAAGAAACCAGAAGTTTTAAGTTATAAATTGCTTCTGAAATCTTTTAATTTGGATCTTTTCTTGAGTGAACCAACCAGAGTCACTAAAAATAGTGTAACCTGCATTGATCATTGGATATCAGAAGATTTTTTCTAGTGACACTTAATAAATCAACAATTAGTGACCACTATGAATTGTTTGGTGAATTGCCATTTACTATCGCTAAGGCTGATAAAACGGTTTTTTTTTATGCCAGAAATGTTAAAATATTGAATCGTGACGACAATCTACCTAAACTACTATTTCTCCTACAATTCGAATTGGAAAAATTAAGCGTAGATATTTCCGTAAATTTTAAAATGCAGTTTTTAATTCGGTCAATGATCAATGTTTTCGATAGGTTTTGCCCTTCTAAATTAGTCGATATCAAAAAACATTCGAAAAAAAAGTGAATAACTTCAAATGCTACAAAACTGTGCAAAATAGAGATACTGCGCATAAAAGAATGATTTCTTTTTCCAATGATAAATCAAAAAGAAAGTTCAAACAATTGAGGAATGAAACCAAAAAACAAATTGCGATAGAACAGCGAAAGTTTTATGACAATGAATTGGGTAACTCTAATGATTCAAAAAGAATGTTTCAAGTTTTTAATAAGTTTTGTTGAAAAAAGAAAACTAGTTCAAATAATATAGAGGCGAATGATTCGAATAACTTTTTTGTAACCATTGGACCTCAAATTTCAAACAAATGGGGATTTCAAATATGTTGATAGAATCTCTCGCAATTGCAAGACTTTTGTTTTCTTTCCCACTGACTCGAAATGGCAAAAGTTATTAAGAGTTTCAAAAAACAAACATTCGACTGGTCATGATGGGTTGAGTAATATGATTGTTAAACTTTGTGCACCAGTCATTATGAAGCTCATGGTTGTTTGCTTTAATGAAATGTTCATCAAAGAGACTTTTCCTGATATTTGCAAAATGGCCTAGGTAATTACTTTATTCAAAAGAGGAAGTGACATTGAATTCAATAATTACCGGCCAATTAGCCTTCTTTGGACAATAAGCAAAGTTTTTGAAAAACTTAGTTACCGACGAATGGTAAAATTTTTACACAAATTCAAAATACTTTGTCCTGAACAATTTGGGTCCAGACCAAAGCGCTCAAGTGTACATGCAATCACACGGATAACATAATATATGCGCACAGTTTTGGAGCAAAATGATAATGGAATGTCCCTCTTTCTGAATTTTAAAAAAGCATTTGACACTGTTGACCATGATATTTTAATCATTAAATTGGAAAAATATGGCTTTCGTGGAAAATTTTTGAATTTGTCAAGAACTAATTAACTAACAGGGTACAACATTTGACTGATGGTACCATAAATTCGCCTTTAGAAAAAATATCTGGTGGTGTGCCCAAGGACTCACTGCAATTGTAGGTTCTGGAAAAACACCAATGTTTATAAAAGAATTCAGCAAAGATATCCAGAGCATAGATGACTGGTGCAATGTCAACAAGCTATCGATTAATACAGACAAGAGTAAACTAATGGCTTTTGGAAAAGACCTATCGGATTCCAAAGTTTCAATTGCTGACCAAACTATGGAAAATATGGAGAGTTTCAAATATTTGGGTATCGAAGTTGACAAAAAACTGAATTTTAAAAATCAAACTGAAAAAATTTGCAAAAAGGCGTCGAAATTCAATGGTAATTTGCACAGAGGAAGATCATGCTTCTCTAGACAGTCATTAGTTAAGTTTTACATGGCATACGTGATTACGGTAACTTCCTATGGCTTGATATCCTACCAATGTAATTCGAAAACATCTTGATAAAAGTTTCTCGATTACAGAAAATTAAAAGAACAATTTTTTTCCTTCGTAAGTATGATCATGTGTCCGAGTATTTTTCAAAAAATCTGCTGGAAAATGTGTATGAAATGTTCATCAGCCAATTATGTTCTGAGGCAATGTTTCAGTTCTTAGAAGTGTACCCTTTAACTTTTTAAATCTTCAATCAAGAAAGATGGGTAGACTCACGCTCAGGGGTAGTTTAGGATGTTTGTCACTACATTTAAGAAAAACAAAATTAGCTCAAAATTCGGTGTTTTACAAAACTCTGAAATGTTTTAACTTTTTGTTGTCAAACGATTTGTTACCCCTCAACCGTAACGAATATTCTGACCAGCAAAAGAAAGGATTTTTTGTCAAATTTAAGAAAATATACCTGAATGACAATCGATGGCTTGTTGACATGCTAATAGGATGATTATATGTGGTATCCAAGGGTGCAACTCTAATAACTCTGTTTTTGCCTTCACTTATTTACCTAGGTTTCCCTCGGGTTACTGCCAGTTGGGCTGTACTGCCCATACAGCAACTCTGATGCAGTTTGTTAGTTCATTAATGTTCTCTAAACTGTATCTTAATTCAAATTCAAACGGCACTGCTATTTAAAAAGCTGACATGCTCAAAAATATTCCGTGGACAGGCATTCTGCTCTGTTGCTATCAGAACAGCCGAGCTAAATGATTTTGTTAAATTAGTTGTTAGCCCGAAAAAAAGTCTATATTCCAGTTTGACAACCCTTGCTAATCGCAAGTGTAAAACATATATGGAATCAACTAACAACAGAGCGAGCGCACTGCTTGATCACAACTACTGCTTTTTTCGATTACAATTCAAAATCTCGTTGTTACTTAATAATACTACTTGGTACTAGATGAATTAAGTCTAAATACTTCAGTATCAATGAGCGGACAGCTAACAAACGCAAAACAAGGGTTTCAAAGTGCTGCCCTGAATTTGTAAAGGAAATAATTTCAAAAAATTGAAATTAAAAATAAGCCAACTTACCCAAGAAGTCTTCCCGCATACCCAAGACTGTCACCAACCCATTAGGCCCCGCCAACTTTAGAGTGTGCTCTTCGTGGGAAAAGGACTCCGTAATCTGTCCCATCAAATCCCATTTGAGAAAGGTCCACGCGAGATACAACTCCACAACCGAGATTCTAGTCTTGCTCAAATCCTGACACTGTACTCTTTTCTGCACTAACTTCGCAAAATTCTGGTACGAAACCCTGACACAACTATTCGGCAACATATCATCCGCGTTCTGCAATAACGAAGAAGACGATTCGAAATCATACAGCGAAGAGTCCATCGCGTCTTCAAACTTACAGTCTAATTCTGGCGTCTCAAACTGACCTTTCGGACCTATAGTTGGCACAGTCAAACTTGGGGTCATTGCACTAGGAACCAAGGTCAAACTATCTGAATCATCACTTGGAACGACCGATGGCAAAGATCCAGGCGTCGAAGCCATGTCGTTGAAGCCTGCCGTAAAGTCAGGTTGTCCGAATGCGTTCGGAGGCGGAGTCTGCAACGTGATGGTCGGAAAAGAGTCCGGCGACATTGTCGAAACAAGAGATGTTCCGAACGGCGTTGCAGAAGAAGATGCGTGAGAGGTGCGCCTGGTAAGGACTTTGCTGATTAGCCAGTGAAACTTTTCCAGTTTCTGAGGCGCGTAGTGGGATTTGAGCGTTGGTGTTTTTGTGACATCTTCTGAAAAGGAAAAACTAAATATACAATAAGAACACAAACCTGAATTATAACTGCATTTGAATGCAAATCAAATAATTTAATAGTAATTCTTCTTAGATACTATTTTAAGTCCCCAATTCGTGTATACAATAATTGGGAAAACACCAACCCGAAAATCGACTCAACGCCCCATCTGACAAAGCCACGCAATCTTTGAAGAACTCCACGTCAATCGCGAAAATGAAGCGATAGAATATCGTCAACTTCGTAATTCCATGTGCCACTAAATTAACCTGCGAATGGCAGAAATCAGTGGGTCGATTACAAAAAGACACGCCCACTTTCACCTGTCGGTCTAGACCATATATTAGACACATTGGGCGACTGGTGACATGTAAGGAGTACATCAGATCCAGAATCTGCGTCTCGGGTCTTCCGTATTCTGCGTTGGCTAGTAACTCGTAACTTCCGAGATGCGGATTTGGAATCTGAAACAGAGCCAAAAGACAGATGGAAAAATATCAGAAAACAAAAGCAAATAATGGCTCATTTTTTGAAGCAGTTGTGATGTAACCCTACTTCTCTTCAAAGTTCCAGAAAGTTTTATGAAAAGCACTATTAGATACAGAGGCGGAGCGGAGCTTCGCATTAGATGCGATGCAAAACACACATTGCGCAACAAAATAGTGGAATGAAAAAAAAAGACAGAAGTAAATAAAAACATTCCTGAAAAAGTATGTTGAAAAAAATTACTTGAAAGAATAACTTGACAAAAGTTGAAAAATTACAGCTAGAAAAACTTCATATTTGTATTGGACAAAGTTCATAAACAGCCGCTAAAAATGGAAATAAATTACCGAACGACAACAAAGGCGACCAACTTTAGGTCGAAACCTGTTGAGTCGAAAACAAAACTGTTGCCATAAAAAATTTCATAACATTTAAAAGAGTAGTATGTAAAAGTGGCTATGAAATTACTTACTTTTAAACCCCCCCCAAAAAAAAAGAACTCGGTGTGGCATTACATTACATTATATTATTTTAACCTCCTAAAGGGTGGGTTAAAGCTCCTAGATTTTCGGCCACTCATGTTTTATAGGGAGTTAAAGAGTGGTATTTTGCGGCCACTCTCAGAATTTGAAAGTATTGAAATTTCTTTTCGCTGATTTCCAAGTACAAATTTCGCCGCGCTATACGGGTGATTATTTCCTAGTACTGTTTTTATTAAATCGAACGCCTTTACCTTTGCAAGTATTGCGTGGTTGGTATAAACCTGTAAGCTGTTTGTTATTTATTATGCTTTTGAATAAAACTGAACTTATTTGATTGATTTATTTCCAAATTTCGTTGCACATTTAAGCAAAAGTGAACCAGGTATAATGCGCAAAGGCAGTAAAAGTTCCATTAAATTATATTTTTATTTGCGCATTTAGTTAGAAAAAATATGGACTCCGTAATATGATATGACACTACGCTCCGATTGTTCACAGAAAAAAATTCCACGTATAATCAAATCCGCTTCAGTTTAATAATAGATTAAAAGCCCGATTGGTTCAAATAAGTTTACCTCTGACGCCGATGCATTGTACTTGGTTCCGAATGTGATTTTGAGTTTGGGCATTTCCGGGTATTGTATGGGATGACATCCTTTGTCGAAGTAGGAAGCGTTGAATGTAACTGTGAATCTCTGTCTGGGTCCATAAGCAAGAGTTAGCTTGTCGAAATTGAATGAGACTATTTCAAGCCAAGCTATAACAGAAGCAACCATTACATTTCAAACCCCTCAATGCGATAAAAATGAATTTGGCACGTTTCGCCCCTCACACATTTCGCGCCACATTTATTACGGCACTTAAGGAGTAAGACATTTTGGGCGAAATGGGTGTACACCGACAAAAATTCAGCCAAAAAATACGAACCGATAAAAATTCAGTGTAGACCGATAAAATTCATTCAGGCCTATAAATCTCATTTAACACCTAAACTTGATAGATGAGTTGGAATTTTTTTGATTTCTATGAAAAAACAATCAGTGTATGAACAAAAATGTGTAGAAAAATCTAGAGGTAGAAAAAAAAGAAACGTCGAAAAAACAGTTTGCTTAAAAGTTGAATAAGTTTTCTTCGGCAAAAATTAGGACATTGTCGAAAAAATAAAACCATAATAGCCAAAAAAAAATTTTAAAAAAGCATTCCTCTGCTTTTTTGCATGGCCAATTTTTTTGAAAAAATGTAGCCAAAATTCGTTTTTATTCCTTTTAAACATTTGTTGCATAACAACAATTTCTTTTTCATATTTGTAGTCTAACCAGCTCATGATGAACCGAATATTAAGTACTTCGTAAAACTTGTTCTCGCGTTTGTCTGCATAATAATAATAAAAAATTGTTTTCAAACGAACAGAATAACGAATAAAGAAATCGTTTTCAAAAACATCACTTGAAAGAGTGCCATAAGAGTGAATTAAGCCTGTTTTGAAGACTCACGTTTGTCTGCATTGAGTGTGTGACTGAATGAGTCGATGTAGTGTTTCACAATGGAGTACTCGTCGTAGAGCTTCAACATATGTTTCCACTGGTTGACCAACTTACTCACAGGCACAGAGAAGAAACTATTCGGAGACCATCTGAAGGAAACAAGAAATGGGATACAATTATAATAAATATTATTAATTTCTTTTCCAGAAGAACAATTTGTTTATTATTTTCAAAATTTATTCAAAAAAACTCATTTTGGAAGAAATACAAAAAGGCGAGTTAGATTCTTATCCAGAGGTCTCCTCAACGTTTTTGGATTGCAACGTTTTTTGACATGTTTTTAAAGCGAATATCGATTATTTGAGGCCATCAAAATTAATTAGGGTGAATGATTAAACCAGGAATGAGTACTTACATTGTCAATTTGATCAGCTTGGTGTCCCATGTTTAAGTTCAAAAAATTAAATCAAAAACTTCTAAGAAAAAGGTAATTCAATGATGACTAACTACCAACATATTCATCTGCTAACCGGTTAATTTCAAAGACACTCTCTAAATGGGCGCTTCTATTACTGCCACATCTATTGCCCCCACCTGCACCAGCACTGCCCCCCTTCACTAGTTGGTTGCAAGTGGGTGTGGTGGTGACAAATGTGATGCCCAATACACTTCTGAAGTTGCGATGCACTCGTGGTCTCAACTCCACAGTCTTGATGCTCTTTTTGAAGGACGCCTGCGAGGATTTGCTCACAGAGCCTAAACACATTAGTATGACTAATTTAATTAGTAGCAAAAAGTTCGGACAGACAAAATTAATTAAAAAGAGAGCAATTAACGTAAATTAGAAAAGTTGGCACTCAAAAACTAACTTTTAAGACCAAATTTGTGCCTCAGAGTTGTCTAAAAACGAAATTGCATGCAAAACTCAGTCAAAATGGAACAATTATTCTTTTTAATTAATTCTGCCAGTCCGAACTTTTGCAACTCTCTATTTGAATTTTTGTACCTTTCAAAACGTACTCAAAATTCTAGAGTAGGATTGGTAGGATAATATAGGGTAGAACGGCATAGAGTAAATTGGAATGCCATAGGGTGGAATGCCATGGAAGCTTGCAAAGTATACTCGAATATTAGGCAATTATAAATTTCTACTAGATAAATCTTTACTTAACTAATTACGAAATGTATCAGAATACAAGAAATAATATCAGTTTGGCTTGTCACTGAAAGGAAGGCTGGCTACATGCACTGTAATTCAGGACAAATATCTCTTTTAAAATAGCTAGGTGAAAAATTCTTTCGTTGGATTACGAAATTTAATTAATGGAAAACTTTTCAGAAATAGTTCAAACACGACAACTAACCTAAATTATAATCCGGCATCTTCGTAATGATAATACACGGGGCCCCCTCAGATAGTGTGGAGAAAAACTGAGCCCCAGGTATGAAAGACCGAATAGCTTCTTGCACCGAATTCGTCAGGAATCTTACGTAACAACTCGAAACCACATTACGTAATCCAGGCAACGTCAGAGGTTCTTCTGTCGCGTTATTTTTAACCGACTGAACATTTTTACTGTATTCATCATCGAAGTCTGATGTGACCTTGAATTTCTTCGAATCGTTTCTACATTTGGTGATATCTGAGTTTTCGTCAAAATCCCTTTCTTCTGAACTACATTTTTGAGGTTTCAACGGAAGCAATGAAGCTATTTGTATAGGTTTATAAGCTGAAAATCTAGATTGATCGCTTTTGCCGCCAGTTCCGCTCGGCGTCAGCAGCGTGGCATGTCCCGTTTTCGGCTGGAACAGCTGTAGCAGGTAGTATGTTGGTTGGACAAATCCATTTCGTGATTCTATGCACACGATGACGAAGTATCGCCCGTTGCTTTCGATTTGCAGGAATATTTTTGTCTCGGGAAGTGACGAGTAGGGATGAGACTGAAACGAAAGTTTAGTTTCCACACCCGAGCAATCTATAATTTCAATACTAGTGACAATTAATATTACTTAAAGCACAGAGGCGAAGCTGAGCTTCGCACCACTTGCGATACAACAAACATAAAAATAACATAAAAAGCCGAAACAAAATGATTTTTTTAAAAAAAACTAGGTCACAAAAACTTTCATAAGTCTCGATAGAAGTTCATTCCAGGCCAGACACTTGAATTTTTAAACAGCAACAACGGAACAAAACTTACGAAAAGAAACAAAGCCGACAATCTTTGAGCAGACACAAGTTGAGCCGAAAAAATATGAATAAAAAAAAACGTCCTACTGTAAAAAACAAGGGACAACTTTTGCAGTTGCAACTACAATGAAAATATTCTACAGCACAAGCAAAATCCGTTGTGACAATTTAGCCGATAAAAATTGAGCGAACAAACGGAAAACCAACAACTCATTTTTCTCGGAATTTTTTTTCAATTTCCTTGATCTAAAAAAAACAAGGTCCGGCCACGATTTGAACCCCAGACATTAGGGTACAAAAGCAACTGATTTACTTTCAAACCAAGGAGAAGCAACCTTACAGGTTAATAAAAGAGAATGCAACTGAAAAGAATTCAGCTGCATAGCAAAGATGTCAGCTGCTTTTTCCTCCTCCTCAGCAAGTGACTCGACTGATTTTGTTAAACTAGTTGTTAACTAGAAAAAAGTCTATATTCCAGTTTGATAACGCCTCCTAATCGCAAGCGTTACTATATCAGTACTAGTACACTCAATCCACTTGATTTATCTCCGCTCAGAAGTTTCAATGAAGTACTAATCTATTTTTACAATAAATGTTAATTTTTACTGCAACTTGAGAATATTTTTGTTATATTTGACAAAATAATTTAGAAAAAGCAATTATCATTATTGAAAAGTCAAAAAAAAGTTTTCAATGTAAACTGCACATGAGAAACTCGCGTTTTCGATTACTACTGAAGACATATTTCTTGACATTAGAGTTTAACATATTTCTGCCGAACAAGCGATAGACCAAAAAATGCACGTATTTACTTTTTATATATAATATTAGTCCCCGGCCCACCAATCACCATTCAGCCTTTTTCAATGGGGGAGAGAGATATCATCAATTTCGCCGTAGCCTGTCCCATCTTGAGGAGGCGGATGATACTGGGACCCATTCAACCATGACCGAAGCGGGATGCGAACTCTCGACCTTAGTGTTAAAGGCCGCGCGTCTTACCCATTATGCCACGGCTGCTCTGCACGTATTTACAAGGTAGATTCCCAGTAGATACCCTATCTGGCTTTCGTCATTCCACCCCCAAAATCTTGAGCTATATCGTTTTAATGCTATGCCGTTATTCCGTTAAATTCTTATAAACTCCTTTTGAGTTTCGACGATTGTAAGGATTTAAGCATTTCTTAAGACTTTTGCCATTATTTGGTTTCTGCCGATTTTTTTTTGCAAGGATTTAAGTCTAGAGAGTATTTAATGTTTACTATTATTATTTAATAATTGTTCATTGATAAACTCACTGAGCTGTATTCGAAGCTAGGCGACTCCACCACACTGCAAGTCAGTCCATAGAGACTATTGTTCACTCTTTCAAGCAGGAACCACTTCCGAATTGACTCCAGTCTGAAACGACAAAAAATTACGTTCAAATCCTCATCAAAAAGTCAACAATCCGGGAAAAAGTGTTTTGTACACCCGAAATAAGGTTAACCAATTTATCTACTCTATTACTCATATTTTTGTGATATTTTTTGAATTTTCAAATTTCCAGATTACAGTGAGCTAAGCTAAAATACAAACTTAACAATCAATATTTTGTTTCTTTCTTAACCTCAGCTTGTATGTCGGCAACTCTTTATTAATCGCACTTTCCAACTCGGAACAAGTCTGAACAGACAACTTGGGACACGTGACCACAAACATGCCCGTCTTTGATTGGACAGTGAGTTTAAGTGATTCTGATTGGTCAACTGGCTGTGGGTGAAGTATTTGGAGCGAGATGCTCGGTTCTGAGGGGTTATAGACTGTGGGGAAGGTGGGACTGTGTTTGTTTAGGAATTCAAGGGCTGATTTGAGGGCACATTGGGCTCTGATGAAGGTTGTTTTGGCAATCAGCTGGAACAGATAAAATTTGAAAGCCAATGAATTGAATTTAAAGAAAAACAGAGAAGTGAAGAGGTGACCTTTGGCCCTGCGACCGATAGGGCACAGTTTGGATAGGACCATAACAACCAATGCTATATAACATTTTAAAAAACCAGAGTAGAATAAATATTCAAAAATAATTACTCAATGCATCCAATTAATTCCTACGAACTATTTTGAGATTTCGGAGCAACAAACCATAAATTGATATGGCTGCTCACTGACTACCCAAAAAAGAATTATCCATGATCATTCAATTCGAATTGAACTCGTCGAGAGCAACATATTGATCAGCTTTCACACAATCATGTTAAAATCAGCATTTGGTTTTAAGCTCTCAAAACCTGGGAGTTAGCTCACAGTTTAAAGTTATAACTAAAGTTATAATTTAAACATTCTCTTTTCACTATCAAGCGATTTGCGGAAAAAAGTAACCAGTACCTCGGATATTTTCAGTCGCTCCGGTTCCCAAAACAGCTTCATATGCATTTCACAAGATGACGTCATCGATCCACCTTCTTCGTCTTCCTGTTCCAATTTGGGCAAATGAGTCACCGCAAAGCTGCCCGTAGACTCTTCTAGCTTGATAACTATAGAGTACAAATTGGACGATTGCGAGTCTTTTTCAGCCAGAGTTGCAGCTGACAATGTAGTGGTGACTGTAGGTTTCCCGAGTACACGCCGGAGGTCCTTCCAGTAGAATATTTTGAGCTCACTTCCGATTTTGTAGCCGGAGACACCTGAACACAAGTGAGGGTTTAGGGGGGATTCCTCAGGGATTAGCACCCTTGACTGCCCAGAGGGTCCCCCCTTTGGCACTATTTTAAGACCTCCATTTTTGAGCGACAGACCCTAACTATTTTCTGAAGGCGCTTCTGGCGCCAATATATACAAATTTTACGGAGGGATCGAGCGCCAAAAAACGCGATTTTTTTGGTCAAAACTTTCCAAAAAGTGCCTTTTTTTGGCCTCTTTTTACAAACATTCGCCTTCGGCACAAAAAATTTGGCCAAAAGGGGGTCTTTTTAGTGGTTAGGGAGATATCGGAAAATCAATTTGGTTGAACCAAAAAAATTCAAGAAAATCCTAAATCCGCCCTACCTGCCTACCTGAACATGACAATCATATTACAACCCAAGTCATTGGATTTAACAACAAATCAGGGGCGGATCTAGGATTTTCTCGAGGTGGGGCGGATTTTCAAAAAATTTTCGAAAATTTTGACGACCTTTTTTTTTAGGTCGACCAAATTGACTTTTCGAGCTCTCCCAAAGCACGGTTTTGTCGTAATTTTGGCCAAATTTTTTGCGCCGCAGGCAAAATTTTGAAAAAAAAAAACAGGCCAACAGGTGTTTTTAGGCACTTTTTGGAAAATTTTGACCAAAAAATTGCGTTTTTTCGGCGCGCGGTCCCCCTCAAAATTAGTATATATTGGCGCCAAAGGCGCCTTTAGAAAAATTTTAGGGTCGGTCGGCCAAAAATGGATTTCTTAAAAAGAATCAAAGGGGGGACCCTTTGGGTCGGCAGGGGGTCGAATCCCTGAGGGGGGGGGTCCCCCCCCCCCCTAAATCCGCCCCTGCAACAAATGCATATCTTCAACACCGTTCACTCAATTAAAGCCGAAGACTTTTTCAGTCATGGAGGAAAAAATCAAATATCAGTAACTTCCTAAAAATATTCCTACTTTGAATCTTTAACCCAGTAGTATAGTATATATTGGCGCCAAAGGCGAGAAAAATTTTAAGGTTGGTCGGCCAAAACTGGATTTCTTAAAAGTACCAAAAGGGGGATTTCTTAAAAGTCGGCAGGGGGTCGAATCCCTGAGGGGGGCGTCCGCCCCCCCCCCCCCTAAATCCCCCGCTGCAGCGAAAAATCAAACTTGAGCGTGACCAACTTTGTTTCTTTTAGGAAAAAGTCTAAAAGTTGGTCACGCTCAAGTTTGATTTTTCTAGAGTCTTAAACAAACAAAGAAGCATTACTAACCAATGAATGGGTTCCTCTGCTCCAAGGAGAGACACAGCACCTGTGCATGCACCACTTCCAGCCGTAGAGTCTGGCAGAACTGGTGCAGGTAACTGTATACATCTACAAGCTGGAACTCCTGAAAACAACTTCATATATGGTTGGATATTCAATACAAAATTATGTCGAATTTAGCACCCTAGTTATGAGGATTTGTCAGATTCACGGTCAATATATGCTCAACTATGCAAGTTTTGAAATGAAAGTTAGAACAAAAAAACATGCGCTCTGAGATGGACTTTAAAGTATTTAGATGACATAGAAGATGATTTTTCTAAAGTTTGTATTTTTGATATTTGGTTTAGTAAAAACTTGAAAATCAGAAATTTGTCGTTGTAGCCAAAGCCAAAAAATCAAGCGATTTTCAAAATAAATTGAATTGAAATTTTTTAAGGTGATATATAAAAATGTGTAAAAAGACCTATAACTTAATTTACATTTCAATAACACCAAGGACATACAAAAAACTGTCTAGTAAATTAGGAGCTTTCACTTGTACCTTCGAATTCAACTTATTCTGAATCATGGCAATCAAGTAGTTCTTCTGCAACTCATGCACCAGAGCACGCCCCTCACTGACTCCTTCGTCCTCAATGAGGAACTGGATGTCGAGGAGTCTCCAGGGCAGCGAAGTCTCCACTCCGAACAGAGTCAGAGTGACCTTGAACTCATTTGCAACTGTGAAGGTCACTCTTCCATTTGACACCGAGTAGTCGGAGAACTCTCTCGGGAAGTCAGAGCTAAACGAACAGTCAATTAATCCTATTTTTTTGAAAATCTAATTTACAGAACAAGAAGTTTTCCAAAGAGTGAATATTAAGAAAACCATCACAACGAAATCGCCGTTTAGTTACACGTTAACTCTGTTCTAGGCGTCTCATAGCTTTCATAGAATCCGCACGCATCGAATCAGCCAGCTAATGTCAACATAGCGCACGATTAGCTGGCTTGACTATTTTAGTAAAAAACAACTAAGTTAACAATTATCCAGTCTAAGACATGAAAATTATGCCAAAACTTAGTCGGTTTAAACGCCGACTATCTTCGCGCAAAAATATATAGTCGTGATATCAGCCCTTTTAAGGAGCTCCCAAGTTTTTTTTGTAGTAAACAGCATCAGGGAGCTGATTTATTAATAAGTCCTATAAGTAAAAGAGAGCTGCGTATGATAAGATAATGGTACTATTACCTTAGTGTTATTGCTAATATTTTATCTTGTCGTTAGGAAAAATTCTTATTTATCCCGGTCTTTTTTCTCAGTTCGCCCCAAAGGTTCTGCTTTCTGCAAGAGGAATTACAATTCTGTACTACAGCCAAAGAATATATATTTGTTAGCTCCGTAATATGGTGGTGATGTTTTTCAACCAATCAGGGCTTTTTTCAGGGGGATTTCATTTATGAAAGACTTTTAAAAGGGATTTTAACAAAAGGAACCTTAGGTTCCTGGTACTGCGTTTGAACTTACTCCGCCAGTACACATGGTATGATCCTGTTCAGTTTCATCAGAGTGGCCACCTTCTCCATCTGGCTCGCTCTCTCTGGCTCCACCACTTTCTCTCTAATCGCACAGGGCAGTCTCGGATAAGATCCAGTCGAGAGCACGTCCACAGAGGGAGGAATGTAGAACGTGGGCAACTTCGCATTTGCTGAAAAAAGTTAATTTTGTCGTTTTTGTTGATGTTTACAAGCCACATCATTCGGTTACCCTAGTTGGAACAATGAATTGCCTTGCAACCTTGATGACATGTAACATTGATCGTTGCTGTGCTGCAACATTGAGATATCTTGCCCTAGTTGAGTACTCATTCTTGCATGATTCTTATAAACTCTCAAGCGCAAAAAACGTCCGATCCTTCAAATCTCTTTCCGATATTATCTGACCGAACAACCATCGAGCAAATCTTAATATATTTCGCCAGAGTTCTTGGTGTATTAAGAAATGAGCTTCAGCTACTCGTTTAGAAGTAAAGTCCCGTTATTTTTAAAAAGTTCTATTCAAAAAACTCGTTTAAAAGTGTAGTACGGTCAGAAAATTTAAAATCTACTTGATGTATTTCCAGAAAACGAGAATATGATAGCATTTCCTAATTAGTTATGCTGCTAAGATTTTCAAAAATGTCAGACGCTAGTTGTAGATCAAATTTTGTGATGAATTATTAAAACAGTAGACCGAAGCTAAACACTTTGCCAATGCGGGAGTCGAAAACTGGGCCTCCGAACTATCACTTCTTATCGTTATTGGCTACCAAAAATTGTATTGTAACAGCTAAGCAACGGTTTGAGTATGAATATCATGCTATTTCTTTTGAGTATGAAGTATTTACTATTTCTATATATCCCATGGAGAACTTTTGTACTCAGGCGAGTAGTGGGAAAGTCTCTTAGTCTCCTAGTCTCAATCAAATATTTGGAGGTACGAGGTCCATCATATTCCTTGCGAATCAAATATGTCCCAGTCAGAAAAATAACCAAACGAAATTGAATTTAATTCTTAAGCAGACTAACTCGTTTAGAAGTAATTTTCCTCGCGAATACAAAGTAGATTTCTTTTTTTTATAGTTTTCTTTTTTAAGCTAACCAGCCAGAGCCCTGACCCGAAGGTTAATTATTTAAGTTTAGCTAAGCTATGACTGACTATCTTACAGGAGCTCACCTTGTAAATTGCAGTGCACGTGGGATTTGAACCCGCAATCATATGATTGCTGGGCGCCATCACTACCGATGTGCCACAACGCCACATAACGTTTCAACTCAAGTGTATCCATTTATGCCTTAATACTAACTAACCCAAGTCCTCGTTGGCCATGATGTGGAGCGTGTCAGCGGCCATGAGGAAGAAGCTGGCCTGGGTGTCCAGGAACTCACTCATCTGGCTGCTCTTGTCCAGTTTGGATGCCCCCTGACTCACCCATTTGGCCAGTGCAAACACACGCACAAACATTTGTCTAGTCTTCACACACCACTTGCACAGTTCCACCTAATCAGTCAATAAGTGATTATCATCAATTTCTTCTATTTAATATCTTCACTTTATTCAACTCCACTTAATTGTATTTGTATTTTTTATTTGAATAAATCAATTTTGTGGTTTGTTTCGTTACTTCTTAAGCTCAAAAAAATCATTTCTTGCCACTTTCCGATGAGAGACGTATGATTTCTCACCCAAAAACAATAGCCACAAAACATTGAACTTTCAGAAGTTATTTTGTGCAGACCAAAGTTTGCTGCCGACTGCTACATAGGGAAAAGCAAGGTGCGCTATTTCAAGAGAGTTATTTAATTTTAGAGCGGAGAGCTTGCTTTGAAAAGGGGACCGAACACTTAGTTTGCAAGTAATTTTATTGCCAAAACATCCAAAAACTATGTCAAAATAGTTTTTAATTAGTATGAAAAAAGCGTAAGCAACCAAAAAAAATTAAATACAAAACATTTTGAAAAATTTATTAAATTATTAAATAAAAACAACAATTTAAAGTACTTTTTTATGAAAACTAGCGTTTTCGACAGCAGAGAAAACAAGGAAGAAAAGTAATATAAAGACTTATTGCTGGGTGGTGACCTTTCTTTCGACGTCCGGTTTCCTGGGTAGCAACTCGGCCAGTACAATCAACTCATGGTATGCACTCTGGACTGCCCTCTCTATGATGATTGACAACTTCACCACCTCCTGCTGCGAACCACTCGGCCTAATATGAATAAGTCTACTCTTGATCAGTGAATTCCGTTAAAAATAATGAAACTTGCAAGGTAAATTGTTCAAGAAAATTATAAAAACTATTTCTGAAACTATTCAACTTTTCTTTTTCGCAATTAAAATTTTTCGGAAGTCTTATTTTAGACTCTTTCTGCCAATTTTGGGTAATTTCCTCAATTTTGAAAAAGAAGTCAAACACAATTTTTTCGGGCATTCATATTTGAAACACAATTAGGTGATATATTACAATAGGTGGTAGGTTCAATTTGAATAGCTGGATCGCATTTTGTTAAGCTTCTCACATTATTTATAATGTTTCAAAAGCCAAATTTTTTGGCAAATTAGAAAAGCATTTCACTAATTGCTGCTGGTTTGTAGACAAAAAATTGCTGCCGGTGAAAAACTAAAGCATTTTAGGTTAATTGAATTTTTGGACTTTGCTTCCACGTTTGAAAAACAACCATAAACCCAAATCCGATATAAACAATAGCAGTTTTAAGTTAATTAACTATATGTAGACTCATTTACCGAAAAAGATAATAATTAATGATGGTCACGAAATGCAAACGAAGCTGTACCTTTGTTGTTGAGCCACTATCATTCCCTCCTCTACGGGCGGATTATGCATGCCCCCCATTGACATTGGGTCGAGGGCATTCATGCTTGCATTCGAGTGGGTGAGGTTGGCTAAATTCGGATTCTGAGTTATAATACTCATGCTGCCAACTTTTATCTGGAAAAAACACCGCATACTAAACAAGAAATTAATCAACTCGTTGAACTTAGAGAACTCCGCAAATGTATTTTTAGAAACTATTGAACTTGAACTTTTTGCTCTTCCACTCTTTAAAAAACCATACCACAAAATTGGACCAAGAAAAGTGACCAATTGCAAATTGTTTGATTTTTTTTCTATCAAAAATCGAAATTTTCTGTTATTATTATAAGATTTACGATTGCTTTTGACTGCCAATTTATAAAATAATTGCGACGCATTAATTAACAGTTCTCCCTTATAAACTAACAGATATTATTTTCTAATATATTTAAATTTCACAAGGACAGCAAATGGAACACAGCAACAATTTGAAAGTTGGAAATATACACCAATTAATGGAGCACCATAAACAAAATGAGATGAAGCTACACTTCACATACACGAGCGAATACTATAGCCAAAAACCTCACAGAACTCAAATGTACGGAAAAAAATGACTGATACTTTCGATAGTTTTTCAACTATCGAGTTTCGAAATGTCTGCAATTATTATCACTTTAAAGCTCTTAGGACTTCGAGAACAAGAACATTATCATGGCAAACAGAAAATTGGAAAAAATGAACTCAAAGAAACCCCCAAAAAACGTCTGAGTTCTTTCACAAAGCAAGGAAAATGAAGATTAACTTGATCAATCTTAATTCAGCAAACAATATGAATGACAGGTCAGACAAAAACAACCTTCAAAAAACCGCCTTAAATTTGCTAAGGTTATTACCGTAAAGAGCCAATGGTTCACCACATCTAAATTAAACTCCAGTTTTTCACATTGAAAACATCAACTCTGTCTGATTTGAGCTGACATTGCTATGAATCGCTCAGACAGGAATCAAAGGTTTGTTCGGTGTCAAGGTAGTTTTCTTTGTGAACTGTTCCAAACATCGATTTTTCAGCAAGTTACAAGAAAGAATTTTTAGTTTTCCTTCTAGGCTTTCTCAATTTCTAAATAATAAGCTAACTGTATTCCTAAGAACTCCAAGATGTTGATCCAAGTGGCTAACAATAAAAAGATCACTTGCTTTTTTTGATAGACTTGGATTGGCAAAAGGGAATTAGGCAAACTTGCTATCGAAGGGTTATCGAGGAAACACTCTCACTTCTCTCTTGGAGAATCGACAACTAAGCCAACTGGTGACATTCTTGAGAAAAAAAGGTAGGGATTATTTGATTGCGGAAGTCACTGACAAAAGTTTCTAAAACACGCAAAAGATAAAGCGGGAAATCCAGACACGTGAAAGCACAAATCTGTGCTTTTTTTATGAAACCGATTTGGCGTCGTAATGTTATCCAAGATGCAGAAAAATTTTAAAAATCTGACGGTATTAGTTCGATCCACGGGGCCACAGTTGCCCCCTGGATTACCAGAAAGAAAACTCTAACGCAGCACGCCTTCAATCACTTCCCACTTTACGCAAGAAAATTGGCTCAATAATGATATCAGTGAAAAAAATTAAAACCACGCTATTACAAAGTGAAAAATCAGTTTTTCGAAAACTAATTGGAGTAAAATGAGCTCCAATGATTCATAATAAAATGGCATACTCAAACTTCAAGTAGAAATTTTTTTGCACTACATCAGAAATGCAGTTGGATATCAACCTCACAATTAACCCCGATACAATCACTGACACCAAAAAGTATACCGATTTTTTACTAGCTTCAGTATCAACAACAAACCTTGATCTGATCATAATCCAATAAGTGCAAGTTTTATTGAAAGACAAAAGCCAAGCGTAAATATACCCTGTGAAAAATATGCCAAAAAGAAAGCAAATTGGGAAGCAACTTGCTTAACGGCCATAACCCTACCAAAAAAGGTCATTTATTTAAAACGATAATAAATAAAAGTGTGTTATAAAGTTTCTGGAAAATATGTCAAAAATCGCCTATGTTTATGGAAGCAACCAAAGCAGATACAAGTTGTTATCGTCCAATAAGATTGCTTTTCTGCATCATGTCTTCAAAAAACTTTCATTTGATCAACTGTACCAACACTGCCGCCACTAACTACACGAAAATCAATTTCGACGACAGAGATCAGCGGTGGTCCATCTTTAGCTCTTCTAGAATCAATATAAAAGTTGACGATAAAAACATTAAAAAAACTCGCAAGTCTCTATTTAGATTATGCAAAAGCATTTGACAAAACTACACATCAATTACTTATCGAAAAATTTAAAAACGTTAAATTACTCAAACTCCTGGCTTCTTGATAACCCGAAACAATTTGCTTAGCTTGAAAACGACCAATCCGATCTAATAGAAATCAGTGGCGGTGTACCCAAAGCACTATACTAGACCCTTATTCTTCTTACTTTTATAGAGGATTCACCCATTGCAAGCTCTCACCTCGACAGTAAGGTTTTGCAGATGATTTTAAACTGATTGCTCTGAAAGCAGTCGGCTTAGTCAACGGAGCTCCAAACTCGATAAGTGGTGTCATGAAAATCCTATGACAACAAGTACAAGTAAATGCAATTTGCTAAATCTTACAGGAAACTTATCAGCCCAATTGAGTAACAACGAACTGCTACCAACAACTGACTTGGGCCTCATTATATCTCCAATGCTAATAATAAATAAAAACTGCGAAAGACGTGCACAAACAGAAAAAGGGCCTTCTTCCAGTTAAAACGAATAATATTTCAATGTTCATGGGTCAACAAACTCCACTCATAAACAGGCAACTGTAATATTGGAAATGGTACACTAATAGAAAAGGCTAATGTTTTAATTGTTTACATAGGAGTCGAGAGGACTCTTTTCTATTCTAAATTTGTTCACACCTTAAGGTAAGCATGTCTTTTTAACTTAACATTTGATTCAGACTTCAAATGAACAACTTAACTTAAAATTTAATTCAACTGAAAAACTTAAGTGAAAACTTTAAAAGTCAAACCCAATTATCTAACTTTTCAAACACTAAACAGTTTTTTTCATTCTTTCAGTTATATTAACTTTGGAAAAAGGCAAAGATTTTGAGTGAAGTTTGACGGATGGTCGAAGTAACTTAATATTTACCCACGACGCCAGTCAGGCGGAATGTGCCCTTTTTTCCCTCTGAAAACAGATGAATCCCCCACTGTTCTGAATAATAAAGTAGCTAAAGCAGATGGAAATATTTAGTTCCTCCCCGTTAAATTAAATATTGCCTTTTCTAATATGAAACAACAAAAAGCAGATGTCTGTCTCCTAATCAAAAGGAGGATAAGAAACTAAAAGAGGACTAAAGCCTAAAAGTAGTTGCAGGGAAAACCAAACAAACTGTTCCGGATGAGTTTGCCTGTATTTTTCAGTGACACTAATTTCTTACGTTCAAAAAGACGGCTGAACATTTTTGAAAAGTTTACTATTTTTCTCTAAAAAAAGAAACTAAATTTTCCTTATCGTAATTTTCTTTTAGAGTTACTCAAAACTTCAGTAAAATAATTTCTCAAATTATATAAAGCAATTCAAGCGTACACCGAGAGCAACGACACTGGATTCGAACAAACTTTTCAACTGACAGCGGGCACAGGATATTGTACCCGTTTCTCGACAAGTAGCGGACAATAACTACTTCCAATCTTCTCTCCACTAACTCCCAGCAAAATATTGTGAGAGAAAAGTATTAAGTTAATAAATTAGAACTCCCATCCCATTGGTATTAGTTCATAATAAATACACAGCTGTGCATAACTTTTAAGCAATTCTATTTGATCATCCTTTTCAATTTACCTGTTTATACAAATATCATTATAATGCAAGATTAGATCGACTTTGATCTATGATATAATGTAACCGAGACTTATAACTTAAGTTACTGACTGAAAGAAAAGGATCAATCAATCGACTCGTTGCTTCTTGTAATAAACTATAAAGTCAAAATAATGTCTTATTGCTCACACGGTTGGTCACAAAGTAAATATGATAAAACTTGTGCGCGTAACAGTAACGGTCACAAAGTGGATGCTAAACTCTGACCATGATTACAAAGAAAGACTACTGAAACTTAAGACATTGCGATCAAGCCTTTACGTCGAAAGGCACAATCCTCTTTTGTATTTATCCTTGATTACTTCCAAATATGATATATCGATCAGCGTTCAAACCTGTAATTATGAGAAAATTCGTCAGCACAGAGGAGACAAAAGCGTAGTCAACAAAAACTAATTTATCAAACAAATTTATGTAAAAACTTAATATCTTCACAAAAATTTCAACTATTTATTTTCGAAAATCGATGGAAACCCCAAAATCTCAAAGTAAGCAAATAAATTCAGGCCATTCGAAAACAAATTGACCAATTAGAAAATTAGCAGATGAACTCAAAAAATCAAGAACAGCTTATCACTAGAAAGAAATAAACGCCTGCCGGCCCTCCCCAAGAATATTGTAGAGGTGAAAACAGAAAGAATTTGGGTACTGACAGAAAAATTTTTTATTGCTCGCTTGGAACATTGAGCTCCGTGTTGCACTTTTGGATACTGAGCTATCTCTCGAATTTCTGTTGAAACTGACACAAAACTGTGCGACAGAACGTTTAAAGGGCCCCATGGCCTCAAGACATTTTCGATATATTACGTTTTTTGTTAATATTGACTTCGATTTTGTAATAAAGATATTTAACCAACAGGAACGTTTAGCAAACTTGATAAGTTGAAATTTTCCAGCATCCGGTCCTTCTATCATCAGAACACGCCCCGTAGCAGATAACTTGATTTCGTTTAACAACACTCCATTTTTTGTTAGTTTTTCATCTAAACGGCGAGGATAATTAATTTCCCTTTTCCTATTTGAAAACGTTATCACATTTGTGTTAAATGAGATTGCAATCCTTGTCAGAGTTTGAGAAACTTGCAGGCAACGTATTAGAAAAACATCAAAACAAAAAAGTGGAAAATATAGGTTTCTAATCTGAAACCCCACGTTATTTGACCCTCTACGTTCACGCGCCCTTTTTTCAGCCCTGAACAGCCC